ACTATAAGCGATGTAACTATAAACTATTTTTATTCGTAAGGAAACTAGTTGCTTTCTGTGATACGTGAAGAATAGTCCAGTCTAAGATCGTTTTTAGACTTTGGCCTCGGTTGGACGGATGAAAAAACTAGAAAATAGAACATGGTGGGAACTAGCGGTAAACTAGTGTGAGCTGCGTCGGTGTTTCTGAAGAAACAGTTGTGTAAAAAGATAAATTTAACACCGTAAAAAAGTATGTGAAATAACTTACTGACGTTTCGGACGTTAATCCTTCGTCGGAGTACTCCGGAGTACTTTTTTTTGCATACTGGAACTTATAAATATTATTAAATTTAAGTCGAATAAAAGTACTTAATCTCCGAACAAATACTGATCATGGCTACTATAAAAGAAAGTTGAAGTTCTTGAAGGCAAGTTGCCTGTAATTCCTGGATGTTTCTTACTGATGATGCAGTGCATGCGCATGCATTTTTTTCTAGACCTTTAGCTTTCGATGTAAGGGTCAACGGAACGGGCTAAAAAGCGTTTGGGATTTGGCTATGAGAAGATTGATTGAAATCTTTAGGTTATTTGCAATTGAAAAGTGACTAATATATATATGAAGTGAAAGCAGCTGAGAAATTGGGCTATGCTTTCTTCATTGTTTGCATTATCAGTTTTCATTATGCTTTTAGATCAAAAGATACAATTTTTAATCCATTTTTTTTCAAAGAAATGCTTAACAGTATGTACCCATTCATATGAAAATAATATTCCAAAAGGCCTCATGAGAAGGCATGTATAAAAACTCGAGAACCCAATCAAGTGACAAGAAAGTTCTAAATAATTGGTTAATTAACCGGAAATATGCTGTTACCTTTGGTGCATCCATAAAACTCAAGTCTCATGGATATATGACCGTACCATGACATTGGTAGGACTTGGATATATCTTGCTATGATTGGTGGTTCAAGAACATGACCAACTATTGTTTTACGATCACTGTTACCGTGGAAGAGTTGTCCTTTGTTGTAGTATTCAAAGAATCGTGTTACACCGTACTTAATCTTGAACGACTTCACCCACTGATTAGCGTCATCACGTCCTTGAGTTCCTAGACGCGTTACCTTGACGACCCTGACAAAATCCATCTGTATCCATTGGCCCTTGTCGTTATATTTTGCGGACCAGGCACCTCTTTTTGGGCCAATCTTGGTTGTCCCAAGCTTTGCTCTAGAAGGAGAATGGTTTGCATCCCACATGGAGGATGCAGTAAGGACAGARCCTGGATTTTGTTCACTCTTTGGACCAAGAGCGCCAATGCATTTTTCGGGCGATACTTGAGATCCTGTTARTACAAAATTTACCGATAAGCTTTATCTAGATCAGGGCGCAGGGCACCCTGTGTCAAACAAACACAAGCTTGTTCGTGTTCTTTTCTTAATTAATGCAGCCAGACATCGAGAAGATATTTGGAATAATCTTGACATGCAATGGAGAACAATAGACGAGTTCACGCTTGACGATGAATCATGGGTAATCAGGGCAAGATTGCTAAGAGKCGATGGGGAAACAGATACGTTTTCGCAATATTTCGTTTCTGAGTTAAACATCCCAAACCAGACTCTTCCTGTAGATGGATAATAGACTGCATGTTCAATGTTTTGTGGCTATTTTTGAGCCGAKCGGGTCATTGTTGCTGCGGTACGATTATTTTCAATGGTCAAATTGAGCTCTTTTCCTCCAGTCKTATCGCAAATCTACTGCTTCCGTCCTTCTGATAATCAGTGTTTATATGTGGCTTAATTGGCTCAAGAACATCACAATACATGGAATAGAGGTATCTTTATCAACTAAAAAAGTTTGATTCAGCAAATTTTCCTCGGTACGGAAATATAGCGAAAAAGGGATCTCTTTCCCCATCGGCGTCTTAGTAATCTTGCCCTGATTGGCCATCATTCATCGTCAAGCGTGAACTCGTCTATAGATTAAAGAACTGATTTAATATATTCACACCTTAAAAGGTGTGTGTGTGTTTAACAATATTACTAAATCATACAGGAATCAACAATATGTAGCAATTATGACCTTTTTGCGCACACTCCAATTATATATAAAATATATCAGAAATAATGGGATATCATCGCTGATATTTTTTGAAGTAGCAGAAGTACGTACACTCTGAAAAAAATATTGGTGATGATATCCCATTATTTTATTTATGTTTTATATATACTTGAAATATGAGTCAAAAAGATCATAATTGCTGTATTTAAGTGGAATAAGGTATGTAATGTCCACAACGTATATGTAATGTCCACAACAGTTTACAGCTGAAATTACTCAAAAAATTAAGGGTATAGAAATGAAACGTTTATACTAAAATAGCTGTACCATCAATCTAACATAGGATCCTAAATAGCTCTTTAGTGTGTCTAACCAATTATTCAAGAGATTGAATTGAAGGTTTAAACGTTGGTCATGGCCATGTGATAAGTGTTGGTGATGGCTACCTATTAATATCAAATTGCGAAATTTATTCTTTTTGGCCTTTATGTTCTGTCCTTAGAAAAGGCAATTTAAAAATGTTGAACTTTTCCAAGATAAAAAAAGGTTAACTTTCATGTCTGATCATAGGACTGGTAAGCCAAGTAACTGCAATATATTTTCAAATTTAAACAAACAATTCAGGTCTTGAGGTTTCTAATGCAAAAGGAATTAAAAAGATCCACTGAATTTCGCAATTAGCTTTTTTCAATGTCTCATGTGGAATCGCCCATTAAAATCTATTTCGAAATTAATATTCTTCACGGTTCTTTTTCTTTTTTTACGACAAGGGCAGATATCACTAATTTCGTTTTTTTCAAATACCATTGTTTTGTGATTGCTAACTTTTGCACTGAGGGTAGATTAACCTTACCTTTGACGCATCCGTAACATTGTAGTCTCATAGATATGTGTCCATGCCACGATACTATATTTAATCTTACAAAGCGAGCAGAAAATGGTGGATTAAAGTTGTGTCCAACTACAGAGTATCGATCTGTGTTACCATCAAAGACCTTAAATAAAAAAGGAAGAACAATGAAATAACGACTCCATTCAACGTCACAGTATGAAATCAGTACTCACCACTAAACCCCGTCCGATGGGATAGTCAGTCCAGAATGTCCCGTCATAGCTGTACGAAACGGTATATTTCTTAACCCACTGAGAATAGTCTTGCCTGCCCTGTGTCGCGCATCGACGTACTTCCATAACCTTTCCAAAGTCTGCTTGCAGCCATTGGTCTTTATTGTTGGCTCTTGCTGACCACGCCCCTGTTCGACCATGCCCAGCATGGAAGTTCAAACGTCCATTTGCTGGCCCGTGGCTGCTRTGCCATTGGGATGAGGCTGACATTTGGCTGCCTGATAGAACCAAGGGCTTCATACAAGCTGGAGGTGTTGGCTGAACAATCCCTGAAAAATTATATATTGAACCATTTTCAGAGTTTTGTTCAAAATCACTAATAAACGTTTTGGTCAACCTTTTCTTGGATGAATGTTCTATAAACAAAATGTTTCGTTCCAATGTACTGCACTAGAGTCTGACTAGATCGCGTTAAAATATGCTATGGCAAAGAGGTACAAAATCTCTTGTTTATSAGTCTTTAGTTTATGCGCAGACGCTTTGTACTTTCTCAAAAATGCTAAATAGCTTCAGAATGAGCTTCGTGGATTCAAAACCTGACAATTATAGAGCAGCAGCTCGTATCCCCTTCATTTTTAAGAAGATCATTCAATTTTCTGATCATGTTAATGCAGTTATTTGAATATCCTATCAATAATACTGACGGCGACTCCCAATAGAAGCAGCTTTTTWATTGAAATCATTACCTTCAAAACATCCATATAAGTCAAATCTCATAGAGATGTGGCCGTGCCATCTCGTAGGACGAAGTCTGATGTATCTTGCAGTTATTGCAGGTTTGAGAATGTGACCAACTTTAGTGTTTCGATCGCTGTTTCCTGATAGACTTCCATATCGTTTAAACTGTACCCCATCGTTGCCGTATTCGACATCATATCTCTTGACCCACTGRTTGTAGTCTTGMCGACCCTGGGTTACAACACCAGTAACTTTGTGTACTTTTCCCAGGTCTGCTTGAATCCACTGACCTTTATCATTAGCCTTGGCAGACCAAGCACCAGTTTTTCTACCGGATCTAATCGTATCGAGTCGAGCTTGAGCGGGAGAATGGTTCGAATCCCACTGTGACGAAGCTGTTATTTTGGAGTCTGGGAAGGAACCCTTGCTCTTCAGCCCCAGTGAGGTGAAACATGGAGTTTTTGGCACTGCGAATCCTGTGGGATTAGCATAAAGTTACGAAAAGTCAAAATACATGTAACACATATCTAGAATTATTCTCGTCCAAATAGCTATTAAGTCCAAAAAGATGGTTTGTAGTGACGATATCAAAACAGAAAGTACATAATATTTCTATCACGAAGAATSAGGCCACATTTCAAGAGAAAATGAATTGTTGAATTCGCAAACAAACTCTTTGGTGCTGAATTTGAAGGTTAATGTACAAACTACAAATTATACTTTTCCATTGAATTTGAATTCCCTGTTTGTGAATTTGTTTTTCTGAAAATTACCATGAGCATAGGTGCACGTTTGAAGTGTGTTGAAGTGKAAAAGTTAAGTATCAAATTATTTTCAACGTTGATTCGTTAACAAACCTTGTCTGCAGCCGTACAACTCAGCTCTCATCGAAATATGACGATACCATGTCTTTGGTTGAAATCTGACAAAACGAGCAATGATCGGCTCTTCGAGCATATGACGTACAACTGAGTAGCGGTCCGYGTTCCCATTGAATAACTGAAATAATAAGTCTTAATTTAATAAATGATATAATAAGGGGTTTCGTTATTTTGACGAAAATTTTCGGGATGGTGCTTAGACAAGAGGATCACTCAGGTGAACAAGGGCGGATCCATAGCTAGCAAACCCCTTTCCATTTTCGTAGGTTATATGATATAAGTAGATAAAAAGGAAATTGAATCAGAACGGGACTATTCRTTCTGAAAAACAACTAAATAAACCAGCGACACATGAAAGAAGTGCTTCATTTTTACTAGGAGCCCTAATTCTATCCATTCAATTTATATTTTTTCTTGATTTAGCCATCCCCGTTTGTAACTTTCTAGAGCCGCCGCTGAGTGAATCAATTACGAGGATCGCCCTCGGTGTTTGGTCTGGCTAGAAGGTTTTCTTGTCTTTTGTATATATATCTATTTTGTAAATTTTCTGTAGAATGTGTCACACAAGTGGTTCTAGTATTACTAATAGCCACACTCACAAATTTTCGCTTTATATGCAATATAAACATTCTTGTGCGAGAAAAATAAAACAAGCATTTAGTAAACGCCATTTAGCTCGACTAACCTTGCTTTTATCGTCAGCTTTGTTTGTATAATCTCTCCAAAAGATGCCGTCTTCACTGTATTGCAGGGAATACTTTGTWACCCACTGGTTATAATCCTCACGGCCCTGAGTTCCAACTGCTACGATTTTTGTTGGATTCTTGAATTCAACCTAAGATAAATTCATTGGGTCAAATTTTAGCAAAATAATAGTGGTGGTATTACAAACGCAGCGAATTTTATCTGGATTGATCGTGCGACAATGTAAGCGACGGTAAATTGATAGTATGCCTGGAGCATTATAGGCCTAATTTGATATAGTGTTTCAATAAAACTAGGWTGTAGTAAGAGGTTTCTTTCGGCTTTTTGTTTTTGCTTTCTCAGTTGCATTCTGGGAGACTTAAGTTGATATTCTCAGAGGTGTCGAATTGGTTGGCAACACAAATAATAGTGGGAGCGCGTTTCACTTGCCCAGTTTCATTCGTTGTCAGGGCAACTTGATCTGGGTGATCACAAGACAAACACAATCAAACAAGACTCTTTGCTTTCTTGGGAACTAGAATATATAGCTACTGTTTTGTCACTTAAGATGGAACGTCCTCAAACTTCAAGGACTCTATTACACTGTCGGAATTATTAAGTTTATTAATCTCATGATGACATACCACAAGTAAAAACTGAATCTGATTCTCTCTTATTAATGGTATACCTGGAGCCATTGAGTAGGGTTATTGTGTCTTGACGACCATCCACCGGTTCTTCCACGTCCACGATGAAAGTACAATCTTGCATTAGATGCACGGTGAGCATGATTCCACTGCGATGATGCAGTCATTTGACCGTCTTTTACGAGGCCACTTTCAAGGCCAAGTGGAGAGCGACACTTATGAACATTGGGAGGAACAAATCCTGGAAAGCCATTAGAAATAGTAACATAGATTCACTACCTGGTAGGAAAGTATTTTTCTTATGAAGCGCATTCTATAGTCTAATCACAGCTGGGCAGGGTTGTTTAATCCGGAATGGCGTCTACACCTAATTTCAAAAATGCTGACATTTACCTATGCTATGATATCTTCGGATTGTAATTTATGCCAGTAATTTGTGATTTGCATGCTAATTAGCATAGGTAATGTAACAAAAAAACTTCATTTTCTCARAAAAWTGGTCCTTTTTATTTTGATGAAAATTTTAGGATCCGTTTAAATAAACATAAAACACAATCTAGAMAAGTTCTAAGAATTTCCTTGGAGACGATTCTGTTTTGAAAAAGAAGAAAATTTGTACCTTCGTTRCATCCATAAAACTCAAGCCTCATCGAAATATGCCTATGCCACGTGATTGGTACAATACGTACATAGCGGGCGTAGATGGATTCAGTAAGARGRTGGGTGACGACGTTATGCTGATCACTGTTTCCTCCAAATATCTTGAAAGAAAAAAAAATGTTAAACAATATTGTATAGTTGAAATGGTTTCTTTTTTAGCTTGGAGTATAATCTGTTGTCTACCGCAAGGATGCAGAATTCATCATAGACAAAATTTCTATTGGCCGAAAATGGAAACGAGCTGTGGAAAATGGGTATGAGTTCCTTTGAGCTCGAGTTGCACTTTTACCGCATTCATAGCTGATACCTTGTGGTTTCCCAGAATACGTTTTGTTTAGTTAAGGTGTTTCGATCGTAATAAATAGCGTTTCACACGCGTATTTTTAAACTCCAACTACGTCGCAAATTTCGATTCAGTTGCACTCAAACTTTCACAGAAGTCACAGTGATWATCGATAATTCTTKTTGATAAAYTAWTTTGCCAAAAAGCGAAGCCATTTGGATAAACGATGCAAAATAAAAACACCTTCATTTCGATTCGTGACTTGATCTTGGCTCGGGCTCGAACTTGACTATGAGTAACTACATCACAAAAGAAAGTGGGCGAAGCATTCTGGTAGTTTTGTTTAATGACGTCGCCACTWTGCAAATCGCTTATTGATCCGTGTTCATTGTCAGTTCTACGGAATATGCRCACTTACTTTTGGTTGTCCCTTTATTGAGTAGGTCTTATACTCATAGCCATCGAGACTGTATTCTAGCTTATACGTCTTCACCCACTGCGGATGGTCTTGACGTCCTTGAGTGGCGAACATGGTTAACTTGACAAAATCGCCAAAAACAACTCCAAGCCACTGGTAACGGTTGTTACGTAATGCAGACCAGGCACCAGTCTTACGTCCTGCTCTCTGGAAATGTAGCCTTCCGTTACTAGCACCGTGATTGGAGTCCCATTCAGACGAAGCAATCATTTGTGCGTCTTTTATAGCTTTGCTCTGGACACCAAGTGCCTTGAGACAGCTGGGAGGCGGCGGTAACTGAAAACCTGGAAAATGCACCATTTACCTCACCATAATCATTTTGCTCTCTTWTGAAATCATTTACTTTTTCTAGAGACAATAACAATACCGTGGCTCTAGTTAAATAAGATGCAAAGTTGCTTTAAACGGATGAATTGATTTTATGAATGACTATATTATACATGTACAGCTATTTYAGAAAAAGGTGAATATTGAAGACAAAGGATTTTAAGACCGAAATGCATTGTTGGTCGTTATRTCGCCATCGAAAAACGTTTTTTGCGGTGTCAGAGTGACTATATCAGCTCTGCGCAGTCAATAACGTCAATGTGAAGCAATTTTTTCTAGAATATTTATTTGCAACGTAGCCAACATGGACTTTAATTGCAACAATGAAAACTGATGAAAATTGCAATATTTCCGTTAAATGTAACGTATTTTTTTCTCATTCACTAGAAAAGTGTTAAAACAGCATTAGAGACACGCGCAGTCCTTCGCTTGCTTCACAGGCTTATTCCTCTTCAAGTTTTTTTTCCACGAATAAGTAGTATGYCTTACCTGATGTACATCCATAGACCTCCATCCTCATAGATATATGGCCGTACCACGATTTAGGTAACACTTGAATATATCTTAAAAGGAATAGAATATCAAATAAAATAGAATTAAACAATAGAAACAATACTTAGTTTTCCTATTCATTTTGAAAACTAATACCACTAATATCAATGCACTCAATTAGATTCAACGTATAAATTCAAAAWAACAATTACAAACTAAAGTGATCTCTTAGAGGATCCAGAAATTGTTCAGTAACTCTAAAAATATCCCTTTTCAGAACAGTAATAAACGTCCAGGAATTAATCACATTATTGGAATGCATCATAATCATTACTCAACGTTTTCTTCAATAGCTGTTTATTTTAAAACATATGTTTGTCTCTACTAGTTAGGGTGACCGTGGTTAAAAAGTGTGTTTCTGCTCGGCCAAAATGTGTCGTATATTGGAAAGTGGCATCTATTTAAGCAAGGTTATTTTAAAGTAAGAATACMTAGCAATGATTGGTGGATCAAGGACGTGGCCTTTCACAGTGTTTCGATCGTGGTTCCCAGTAAGAATTTCTCCTGCTTGATAGTCTACATAGTGRCCGCCATCTTGGCTATACTTTAGAGTAAACGATGTGACCCATTGRTTGTAGTCTTGACGACCTTGTATGGCAATCCTTGTTATTTTACTGATTTTATTCATTTTGATTTGAAGCCATTGTCCTTTGTCATTGGACTTTGCAGACCATCCGCCCCGTTTACTGCCATGCCTAAAATCACATTCAAACAATCAATCATGAGTAAATAAATATTCATTTGTATCCTGCGCATGTATTTTGTGCTCTCATGATCCATATTTCTGACTCCAGTTGGCTATGTACATGGTGCAGTAATACTCTTTGCTGTCCATTTTCAGCGAAGGGACATCGATTTAAGCAAAGACGCATTGTCATTGCGTACAGGCACACAAGAACACTAACGGACTCTAAAGACACTGAAGGAACATTYGTGCAAACAATAAAGATAAAGAAAGGCACCATGAATTACCTCGTTTGGACATTTATTTGCGCAATAACACACAATGTTTAATGTTCTTCTTTTGCATAAATGAATGTCCAAAAACACTTTATGAAATAGGTGGTTTTGTTTATTGTTAGCACAAAAATATCAATGAACGTCACATGGACCGATCTCTTGAGACCCGTTCGCGTTATTATTATTGCTCTAATGACAATGCTTTGTCGCTTGAATTAATATTTCTGTTTGTTTATTGAACAAGAATTCTCTTCGTATTTTCTTTATTTTCTCAAATGTTTTTCCCTATGGAAACAGGGAGTAATTACATTTAACACAATAGAKAAAATGACAGATCATTAGTTGTGACCAAGCGACATTTTTGTGCTAAATGCATAAACTAGAAACTAGATTCATATACAATAATGGTTGCATTTATAGCGAAACCCTTCTTTTGTAGTAAAAATCTCATTCTTATTTCATACCTGGATAAATCAAGTCGTGCTAGCGCAGGTCCATGATTTGCATCCCACATGGAAGACGCTGTAATGCTTGCATCTGGTATAGACCTGTCTTTCATTCCTAAGGCATCAGAACATGGGACCGGTGGGGCAACGAAACCTTTATTGAACGAATAGAAATATAATGTGAACGGTTAATTTCAGATTAATTTGAATACCAACTGTAATGTAGGTTCACTGTAATTCAAAATACGTAAAAAGATGGTCATTTATTYGTATGGTTCTACWTCAGGTTGAGCTGCATTGCGGGAATGAATTTTRTATCAGAATMTCTAACGAAAAAGGCTTTAACAAGAAATTCACTGTATTACCCGATGTGCAGCCGTAGAGCTCAGCCCTCATAGAAATGTGTCGGTGAAAGTGTCTTGGGTGAATACGGAAGTATCGACCATAAATTGGAGGATCGATAAGATTCGTCACAACGGAATGACGGTCTGAATTTCCGGTAAAAATCTGAAGAAATAGAAATTTAAAGAATTATTTTCATAATAATATACACCTTATTGAATTAACGTTGTCAAGTCGCAAAAAGAATTGACATAATGTGCTTCTAACGGAGCTGCAGTACATATAGCTGCCGTTCAGGTTGAATCAGAATATGCTGGATTTGTGTGTCATAGCTTGGTGGATAGAGAGGATTTCGTATGAGTGGGACACCGTTACCGCACAGTTACCGGACCTGGCCTGCACAATTTAGTGAACCAATGGGGCACTAGAATTTGGTTACAGTACGATTACGGTCACCGTACAGTTCCGTGTTTCCCACTCATACGAAATCCGCTCTATTAAACAAAACAATGATATTGTTAGCCAAGTATTGATCATTAATAGTTTCTGAAAATGCAGACAATTTTAATTATGAACCACTGTGATTTTGAGAGCCAATTCTACTTCCATTTCCTGCTTATACTTACATCAGTTCTCTCCCAAAATATACCATCACGACTGTACGATATCCAATAATTCACAACCCATTGRTCAGCATCGGCGCGTCCCTGGGTACCAACCATTCGCACTTTTCCCATTTTACCAAGATCAACTTGCAACCATTGATTGGCTTTGTTGTATCTCGCTGACCAGGCACCAGTCCTAGCTCCTACTTTCTGAAAATAAAGCCTGCCATTGGCTGCCCTATGRTTGTTGTCCCAATGGGATGATGACGTTATCATTGAATCTTTTATTGCTCCGCTTTGTAAYCCAAGGGCAGAGAGGCATGTCGGGACTACTGGAGGATTGAATCCTGTGAAAATATAGTAAGACAGTGCAATAAGCCTTTWTCTCGTCCGAGAAAAACGTTTGAGTGACCTAGAGTTTGAGCCTTCTGGAAATACAGGCTAGGCCTCGAATTGGAGAAAATGCAAATTTGTAGTGCTATTGTAATGACAACATTTTTGCGTGGTATTTTTTTGTTTAAGGTCTCTGCGCAATAGAGAGTGTTATCGGCTAAAACAGCGGCTGCTCGATTTGAACGGAAAAACGCGTATTTTTAAATATCTCAAATTGTGATTTCCATTTGCTTTTCATTTTTAACCTAATATTGTTTATTTATCTAAACAACTTTCAAGCATRTTTTGTGCATTCGTYTAGYTTTTTTAGCTTTAAATTAAGAAAMGTGAGTTAACTAAAATCATACACAGTRTGTTGTRACCATTTTYTTCAAAGGCRAGCGATATTTCAAGTTATGTATTTCWTGTTGCACTAARYAAGGTCATTGTCTATTTGTGGAAAGTTTSCTGACATTGTTAAATTTTAATGTGAGCAAATAAAAACAATATACATCAAATGTACAGAAATGTTCTCCGTATGAAAGTACCTTTAGTGCAGCCATAAATCTCCAGTCTCATTGAAATGTGACCATACCATCTAACTGGATGAATACGGAGATACCTGGCAAATATTGGAACATCAAGTTTGTTGGACTTGATTGTATTGCGATCCTTGTTAGCAGAAAATATCTGAAACATAAATGGCAAGGACCTTCAGTCATGAAGCCTGACCGCTTGTCACACACTTATTTCCTGATTTAAAATGATTACAAAATAAGAACTACTAGAATGTTTTACTTCCTGTATATGGTGTTGCCTCGTACTAGCTAGAAATATTGAACTATAAACACGTGCTCTAGACGCCATCTTGGATACATTTTGCACGCTAGGAATTATGGTTACAAAAGAGTCGTGCTTTGAACAGCACAAGTATTACAAAATCGTGTGCGCGCACATACAAAAGAAATAAAATAAAATGAATACATGTAAAAAGACAAACAAGATGATTCCAATTCGCGGCTAACTGAGCTAATGCCCTTTTTTGTGACTGATTCTTTTAGTTTGTGTCGTTTCACTTTTCTTACCACTTTGCCTTTCCCTMGTTCGTACACATAAGGCTTGTAGACGCCATTATCTTGACTGTATGACAAGGAGTAACTTGTAACCCATTGATTGTAATCCTGTCGTCCTTGTGTCAATATCTTCGATATTTTTACCGCTTTTCCAAAATCGATTTGGTAGTACTGACCTACATCGTTGTAGCGGGCTGACCATGCACCTAAATACATGATATCATTTTGAGTTAAAAAACTAAAAAAAAGTTASGGTGAAATATTTATTGATGAATATTCAAAACATTTTGTTAAAAGGTTTCTTTTTATAAGTTATCTATGTGTCTTCCAATCCTTATGCAAAAAAGTATTATTTAAAAAATTGAATTTTGCATAYTTTTTTCRCAAAAGAAATCAGACACGAAAGTATGAATCGCCTCTCACTTTTGAAAATTCTCAGAAACGACTTTCAGTTCTCAAATTTTAGACTAARAGTTTTTGAGCATGTTTTTTTACTGTAAAWATTATCTGATAGCTGGGATTTTGGAAAATTATATATGCAAATGAATGTGTTATTGACAACTTTGATAGGATATTCTGTATATTTGTATAGATAAAGGGCTTGTTTGGAAGTTCCAAGTCAAAATGCTAACCTGTTTTACCACCACCTGCCTTAGTGTTCAGTCTMGCACGGTCAACCCCATGATTATGGTCCCAAATACTGGATGCACTGAGAGATGCTGTGGGAATCTTGCGGTTTTCCATTCCAAGGGGRAGACCTTCTGCAGTACATTCTGGCTCTGGAGTAGTTGGTGGGCTACCTGAATTAGACAACATAAAATTATGCATGCATGTGTATTGTAATAATTCAATAAAAGTCTTTAAAGGCCCATGTGCATTCGAGAACCTTTTTCTCATAAGAACCTTTTTCTCATAATACGAAAAATTGACATCTTTTACAAAGCATGACGTTTTTCTTCAGAAACTGAACCTACATTACATTGCAAATCAATAGATGACGTTAAGACGTCCGAAGCGCAAGCCTGCATGACATCTGTAATTGTTATTGTTTTGTCGAGGAAGTGCAGTGACAAGCACAGAGCACAAGAACATGCCGCGATCAGTACAATTTACAGATAACGTACCTTGGCAAGAATCTTCCAGAATAATGTCCAACTTATTCTTCAGATGTTCGAATTTATCAACTTTGACCACGTAATGAGGATTATCCATGGCTATCTCAAGCAGCTCATCATAATTGATTCCACTTCCAATACCAACCGCAAGAGTTCGAACACCTTTTTGCTATTGATGGAAAAAATGTATTGGTGTCAATGGAATCAAAAGGTTTTTCGCGCAAAGGGGACCTTCGTTATACCTGCAATGGTCTGAGTACTTCTGCGTACGCCTTGCTTCCTCGGTTAGTTTTACCATCAGTAAAGACGATCAGAATGTTGGGTTTGTCCGATCTGTCACCACCAGCTGCTGTAAACAAACTRCTTGCGGCCATYTCTAAAGCCCTGTCGGTACGGGTCCACCCTCCAGTGTATCTATCAAAAATATTGAATAAAAGTTTCTTTTAGAGATCTTACAGCATACCGATCGATTTCTTTTAAATATGATGGTACCTCTATTCGACTAAGTGAAAACTTGTGTTTATCGAGATGGTAATTCTTCCCTTACAGGTATAGATGACACTGATGGAGAACGCAATTCAAATACGTATGTCTTAAAMAACAAAATCGCGGCTAATGCATTGTGAAGAGTTAGTACACGTWAAAGTCAAGTRYATTCCTTYTAAACAAAAGCGTTTTTGTATATACTTTATTATTTTTCTTAACTTCCCGATTTTGTYTAAGACTCAAAGCATCAGCATCAAACATTTCATGTTGACCATAGTTACCGCACGTCTTCCCAGCGTGGAAAATGTATTTCTCCCCAATTTTCTTAGATTCATAAAATTTCATTGTAATTTCTAACACAACCTTTAAGCTGGTTAAAGATCTACATGTTTAATATTGACGCAGCTAATAGATAAATGGACGCTTTCCATTAGACATTAATCGAATAACTTTTCATCAATGGATTGTAAAATCGGACTGAAATATCACCTCGCTATCAAACTATCAATGTCACGGCATACGGAATCGACTGACTTACGCACGCGCATCAATGTGTATAGAGTTTTGTTATAAAAACAATCATGGAYTGTACCAATTTGCGACAAGATATAAATTTGTTCATTAAATCTGTTTTTCATACCTGATTGACTTGACTTTCGATTTCAGATCCACAAAATTGTGATATCGTTTATCCGCCATTGTAAACTGAAGTTGTGCTCGATGGTTGTACGTAATKACACCAAAATGAGTCCCATCGGTCGACACCTTGAAGTGAGTGATGAGATCTTCGATGAATCCAAGAGCTATTTTAAAATTMCGCAGCTGAACGCTTCCTGATCCATCGAGAATGATTCCAATATCCAATGCTTTGATACACGCTATGGATAAGAAACATGRAGTGTGATCGTTGTGTCTGAAAATGAGTATAGTGATGGTACGCTTTGTGACACCGATAATCACTGGAAAAAAATCACGCATTTTTAAGGTTGTAAATTTGATGTAAATATCATGTAAGTGTCCAAAATGATGTAAATTTGATGTAAATCATCTACATCAATAAATTAACATCATTTTCGACACTTACATAATATTTACATCAAATTTACTCGATTTTTTCCAATTTGAGGCACTATTGSATTGTTAAACTTACGTATTGGGCAGGGGTCTTCAGCACAGCGTCCCGTTTCCTCAGTGGGYCCCTGACATTTCTTGCCGTGTCCTGATGGTGCTGGATTGTCACATCTTCTTAGTCGAACTCGAACACCGCCACCACAAGTRGAAGAACATGATGACCATGCTTGCCATGATGACCATTTGCCATCCACATCAGCTAATGGCAAACAGAGTTTTTTGCTTAGAAAATACTATGGTCTGTATTGAGGGATGTTATTGATGCATGGTAAGACTCGACAAGTATTTTATGACCCTACAGGTACCTATTACTATGTTTAAGCCACTACAGAGAGAAAATCTTTACTATAGCATTACCTGGCGTTGATATTACGTCATAGCMATTTATTGTTTTATAAACGCAAAAGAATATTGATCAATTAAGAAAGAAAAGCAATTTTCAAAGCTGATTAAGTTATTAGTCTAAACTCATTGCCAAAGGTCTTCAAATGCCCAGTTTTCTTTTCGTTTTGGATTTTATATGTTCCTAAATTAAAATGGCAGAACAAGGAGACTAATTATACTTACGGTCAGGACAAGCCTGTTGGTTGCAAGGTGCCGTTTCCTCAGCTGGTCCCAAACTAGAGCAATCTTTGCCATTTCCTTTGGGTTCAGGGTTGGTGCAGGTTCTTTCTCTTACCTTGGTACCACCACCACACGTCTTACTGCATTTAGTCCAGTCAGCCCATTTAGAGTACCCACCGTCAACATCGGCTGATTGTTGATCTTAAAAGGTGTAGAATACAAAATAGTCTATGAGGTAAAACCTGTCATGATGATAGCATAACACTTTCTTGTTTTTAAAGTATCGCCATAAGTCGAAAAACACTTGTTTTAAAGGCCCAGTTTGTACCATTATGCTTTGCGCGCCTCTGTTATGGTTATGATTTACACCAAAATACTTCTAGTATTTAAGTATCACCATAAAACGAATGTCAGATGGTTGAAAACTCTAATATTAGCATTTCAAGTGCTTAGAAAAAGGAGATGTTCAAAGAGTCGCACAGTACAATTTATAGACTTTCGGTA